TAACATTTGCATTCTGGTATTTGCCTCTAAAAGAGTTCTTGTCTACTAGCCGATGGAGGCCGGTGCTTACCTACCATTTTGCTTTGCAGTCCCCTAGTGGCTTTTTCCTAAAGTGAATATTTATCTTACAAATTTAGTTTAGCTTCTGCTTCATCTTTCTGCACAAGGATAGCTATAAGCACAATATAAACACATCTATACGCCTTTCCCCTCAACTAGGGAACCCATCATGGAACTATAATGTACACTACTGAAAAGAGAAGTATTTGCAATTTCATGACATCTCAAGTTTTTTAAATTAAATAAATCTTAGAGATCCTTAGTATAATGACAAAAGTTACTTTTTTATTCCTTGGGAAATTGCTAAAACATAAGAACGAAAAATATAAAATGTAATGAGAGAAAACATCTTGTACTTTAGAATTCATCTAATTTGGAATTATCTCATTTCTTTATCTTTAAGACTCTTTCTTACAAAATATTTACTTGTGCATCAATATACTTTATATTTGGAACATGGACTACATCAGGCCGTTCGGGGACTTATTCGGTAACTGTGAATAGTGATGAGCATGTTCCTTCCTAGGGTGGGGGCGAAGAGAAAGCCGGAGAAACGAAAGCTGTGCTGTGCCAGTAAGTCTTGGAACGTGCTCCTGTGATGACCCCTCATAATCGCCCATGTCCTTTCCTTACTTTCCAATATTTTGGTTAACCTCACTGACACTGCTTCTTGGTGGTTCAAAATATACTGCCTCCTTTTCCGAGGGAAGGAAGATAATAATCTCTAACAAAAAGACTTTCAGTCTCCAGCTGCAAAAATTTCTCACTCAGAAATGTACCGACCTTTTAAAACTATTCCTTTTCCCGAGTCATCATCAAGGCATAGCCCCCTTGATCACTGAGGTCAGTGAATCAACAATAAATTGCATGTACTAATACACGCTGATTCTTCCCAGACCAACTTAGGAAGTGACAAGTATCGCCTAGTCCTCAGATCCAGCTCATTCAAGGTTCCTGACAGACCAGAAAATGCCACTGCTCTTTCCTGCAAATGGGAAAGCTACAGGGTATATAAAAGAAATGGTGGTTTTGAAATGTTTTAATAAACTATTTAACACAAGATAAATCAGCATTTTAATGTCTATTGAGAGAGATAAAAAAGGGAAAGATAATTCTTAGGAATAGTAATAACCAAAAAATCCAGGTTTTTTTAGCTGACAGTGCAAAAGCTAAAACCCTGCTTCTGTGTCCATCCAGCACTGGGTGCAAAAGACCCAAGGACCTGACTGGAGGCAAGTCTTCCCGCAGGTCAGCCTTCCTGTGGGTTACTACCCTGCCTTACCAAAACAGTTCCTAGTTCACCTGCTTACGGAGTTAGCATGAAAAGCACACAGCCAGGCCGGTGCAGCGGCCGGAACATTATTCTAAGTATTTTTATGGACTCTTTTCTTTTGCACATTCTTTTACATATCATTCTTCTGGTCTTTAGAAGCAGATTTCTCCCTGTGAGGGGGAGGGGAGGACTGTTAGAGTAGGAATGTAAAGAAGAGAAAAAGTAGAGCATGAGTTTTGAAAGCTTAAAGACAGGAGTCTAAAGAAAAGCAAGTCTTGAAATTCCAGCTTTGGAAAGGAAGAAAAGATTTTCCAAATTCTTTTAAGCTCTCGTTAACATAGCACGGGCCAGATCTGGAGGGCTTAACAGTTGAGTTTTGCAATAAGCCAGAAATAGAGGGAACTGGAGATGCAATGCTACATCTGAAGGGGGAAGGCGGGGGCGGGGAGAGAGGGAAACCAGAACTGAGCGTTAGTTTGCATGACACTAATTCCCAGAGATTATTGCAGATAGAAAAGCCTAAAGATAGTTAATTGGCAACTCGGTTGCTTTTCCTCCTTCCACTCCCCATACATGGCGGTGGAGGGCCAGGAGGAAGATTTTATTAGCTAAAGACCCCTCCAAAGTGACAGAGTCTCTACGTATCCCGGTTGCAGGATGCAGACATTCACCGTGACTTCGGCAGGAACTGCTGGGCGAGATCAGCTGTCTGACTCCCTAAGAACTCAAAACTGCAGGCTCACTGAGCCTCAACACGGCTCTGAGCGCCAGCACAGAATGAACGTCCCTGTCTCTGTATTCTAGAGGAGTCAGTCCAGCCTTACGCTCTTTTTGTCATTCTAGCCCTAAAAGTTTTGAGGACTTTTGACGCTGGGGCTTAGTCTCACCCGAGCCCACCATTAAGTTTTATATGAAAGCTCAGAGACTTCTCAGGAGCCCTGGGACAGAAGCCACTCTGCATAGCACCGCTGTGAGCCCGCACCCAACCACATGAAGGTTCCGTTCATTCGTCTTTGCCAGTTACTAAGGCACAGCTGTCCTTCTACACCCCTTTAAGCTGCTCGGCACAGCTGCTTAGGGCCCTACTCATGAGTTTCTTGAGCTTTACTGCTTCTTACTCATTGGGCAAGTCAGAAAGGATTGAATCCGGTGATCAGAGATCAGGAATTGAACAGTTTGCACTGGGTCTCTGGGGAGAGGAAGCGAGGATCTAGCCTTGGGGACCACAGGGACCACCTGTCCCGCTGCTGTGCCGGGGCCTGGGTCCTGGCCAGTCCTGCTGTAGTTTATACCACCACTGACAAGTCCTTACACACCACGTTAGAGAATTTAGGAATGAACAGCTAAATTCAACCAAATAACCAGGTTTTTGAAGAGGTGGCCAACAGGTTATGACATAGTTTTAATTATTCTCCCTCCCATCCAACTAGGGGTTGTTTTCACACTACGGACAGCAGGTGAAGTTGAGGTCAACCCTCGCCTTGTTTCTCCCACACGCATTCCATCACGGTGATTACCTTGCTTTCTTAGACCTCACTTATTTAAAGCCTTACATTTTGGTACGTGTTTGTTGCATTGTTTTTAAGGAAATGTAGTTTTGTTAGGAGTGGCGGGGCAGGAGTACCTTGTCTGGCACGGCTGCTCATTGCACTTGCGAATCTGAGGCTCAGGCTTGGTTAAGTATTTGCATTTCTTGTTGTCCACAATGCTGATATTTTTGTTCATGATTTTTGTGCAAGACACCGTTGTCTTTCTTTCGCCTGAAAAGAGCAAATAAACATACAAAGAAATGTTATTATTGGCCTCTGTGTAATGGATTTAGGAGGTATTCCTAGCCTTGTAATGTTCATATTTTAAACAAATTCTAGGTTAGAACAATGAAGATGATATTATTTATAATTTAGTTAGCAAAATACATCTCTAGGCTTGAGGAAGATAAATGGTGATATTTTTCCCCTTGTTAGAAATGAAACGGCAAGTTTTGTAATACAAAGGGGTTGTGGGAGCACACGTTGACAAGACGTTAATTAAGAACTTGCTGTAAAGAACTGTGCCGTCTTTTAGTACTCACTGGTGGAAAGCTGTTATTTGTATAAAACCTACGTGCCGTCATGAAGGCACATAAACATGCAGCTAAACGTGAGTGCACACTGCATCATCCACTGCATGTCATCAAGGCTCTGTGGGGGGCTCTGAGAAGCAAGCTTATTTTAGTATACCTCAGACGCTTATTCTTGTCCCTTCTGGTAAAGACCCCAAGAATTCCAGAAATCCTTGCTTTCTAATGA